AGATCACCTAACTTTTTTTTGACCTGTAATTCATTCTGATCCCGCCATTTGGATTTTATTTTTTTTGATTACCAAAATCTGTGGCTTCCCTTTATAAAATAAACTGTATGGGGTAAAGAAAACACTTTAGGTTTTTGTCAACCATTAATTGTTATGCATTCCACTATTATCAAGAATTTCAGTAAAAACTGTGAGTAACTGAGCATAGTAAATCAGGAATTCTAAAGAGGTGCCAGAAACATTTGACAGTAGAAAAGGTGAATTCTATACTTTTCTATCAGCATTTCGTATCAGATAGTTGTCATGATAGATACACACTGGTTTCAGTCAAAACAACCTCAACACATGCCAAATTTTCTTTTCTACCCATAGATCTTTACTGATGATAGGTCATGTTCCCAAAATATCAACCAATATTGAAAGGTGTATACCTTTAAAATCAAGCTTACACTCTCCAGTACAGACCTAGTGCTCCCAAATTTCCAACACAAAGATTTGGGGTTGTCTGAAATAAACCTTCAGAGATCACCCAAACAATTCCTACACCTAACCAAAGCTCATAGATAAATGTTTTTCGTTTTTTATTTCCTGATGAATGTGTATGTAGATTTTGCAAATCATTCATTTGTCTAATCTTGTGTAAAACTAGCTTTACTTGTGATCTTGAAAATAAAAATAAAGTCTTTTTTTGCCATCCATCCACATTCAATTTATAGCAAGACTACTTCTCTATTCACTTTATGACAACATCCCACATCTTACAGAATGTGAATCACTTGTCAATCATTATCAGCTTTTGAACTTGATCAAAGATAATTATATAACAGATAATGAATAAGCAATAATCGGTGGTGTTTATAGCAATATAAAGATATACAGAACAATAGCCCTATAGAGGTTTTCTTTTACTGTAGTATATCATTGTCACTCATTGTTTATCTAAACGACAATACAGATGCTCACAATATCTGCAATATTTCTGTCCTTTTCGAGCTATTGTTCATTTTCAAGTACATGTTTTGTCTTAAACATAAAAATACACCTACCTCAAGTTCTTTTTCCCCATCAACCAAACCTCGTCTACTCCCCAACAGACAACAGTGGCCAACAACTACATTGATTAGAAATGATGACCTCTCCAACTTTGACATCTATGACCTTTGAACTGTAGATTGAGATGAATGATAAAGTTGTAGACGACGCGTGTCGACTGTAGTAAATCTCTTCAATGGTTTCTAGAAGGCTAATAATCAATGTCCCCACCCTCCACCAATATAGTACTGTATGGAGATTATAATCTGTATTTAAACAGTGCAATATGAACACCAGATGGTGCATCTTTTTTTCATAGTGATATAAAGGATATCTAAGTTAACAAAAAATCAATGAACTTTTCAATCTAATTTAAAACTTTAATCTTATACATTAATATTGTTTAGATTCCTGCAGTTCTGTAAGTATCAGGGCATGAACTAACTTGTCTCTGAATTGATGCACAATTTGTTAATTGGTTAAATTATTTAGATAGCAATTATCTTTTAAGTGGAAATGCACTTTTTCCTTATAATATTGACTGTGCTCAAACTGAAATCAACAGCTGACTACCAGGCCCTTTTCTCATTATTCTAAATCTATACAAATTCAGTTCAGTCATGACAGATTACATCTAATATTATCCATATACCTAAAATATGTGAACTCATGTGAAGGCATTATAGTTGATAACCTCAATTCCAGTGATATCAAGAGATAGTTGTATTAAGTGGCCCAAAATCATATAATGTTGACAAGAGTTGTTACCCTTGCTATGTGGTTATAATAATATAATGTTGGCACAGAAGGGGGTTATCCAATCAATCTATACATAGAACTGTATACTGACCTGTATACTGACAGTATACAGTTATATGATCTATACTTCTTAGTATTCCTGTAATAATAGTTATACTACCGGACATTTTGGCCACAGACAACCCCTATATGGACATAGTTGTTCCAAGATGCACTAAGGAGTATTGCTAGGATGGATAGCGACATTCTGAACTACCATATTCCACCTAACAGTGATCCACATGGCTACACATGGCTAATTATACTTTGTCTTAATATTTTCATTGCAGATTAAGGCAACTGTTTCATCTATTGCGTAGAAAATGTTCTGGGCAGCCAAGTTAATAATTTTCTACTACATTAAGCTGTTGTATAGTAGAACAGGGTGTAGGCTGGGGACTTTTTTCCTACTAATTTCAAACATTGTCTTAAATATTGTCATCCTTGTACCAATTTTAGAAGTAAGTAATTTCATTATCATTACTCCACAAATTTTTAGGAGGGAACCTCTTTTGTGGACAATAACACTTCAGTACTGGTATATAACATGTTAAAACATGCTAAAGATCAACAATTTTATTATGAATAATAATTATATGATACAATATATGAGATAAAAATAGAGAAACAATAGAAATAGTAAACCATATAATAATTGAGCAGTGTTGAAGGTTTTATACAATAAAAACACTGTCCACAAATCTCTCACATTAGTTTTAATCAATAATATTGGACAAAACCTTGCCTTTGAAGTTGAGAAGATAAGCAAAAATTGAAAGGGAAGATTCATAATATAAATAATTAATGATATGGAGAGAGTTTAGGGGTATTACAAGTCTTTTACATGTAACCCTTGATTCTACGAGTTGTTTTTTGTCACCAAATCAGATTGATTGAAACTAAATAATTTCAAAAGTGTATTAAATCTATCTCGTATAACATGCCTATATTCCTTATCTTAACTTAATCACTAATTGGTAAAATATACAGGTAACTATAATTTGTACCACATATTGCAGTCAGCCTTTCCTGATTCAGATATTGGCATTGGAGATCAAGGGTTACTGTTGACAACTAATACTACCTTTCATACATTAAGATGACTAAGAAAGAAAAAGAAAGAGATGGTAACCATGTTGATATTGGTATTTTTATTTCAAATGGTTTTGTTGTTTTTTGTCATGATTTAAATATATGCTATGGATAGGTAAACCATAGTTTCTGGTAATGAAATTAACAATGGCAATAAATATACATTTTGCAATAGAAATAAATAAAAATCTATACAATTTAAAGATTCAAAATGGGACTTACATTAGCATAGAGTAAAATGGAATCAAAAATGGAGGATTGAAACACATATAAGTACATTATAAATTAACAATATTAGTAAATACATGTAAGAGTGAAGAATTTTCCAAAATCTTTCTGACTTCCTAAAAGCAAAAATAAACAATATCAGATTAAAATAATAATATTTGTAATTTCTGAGCACATAATATATTCAAAAATATCAACCAACATCATTTCATCTGAAAAATCACAAACCTTGGAGCAGTTTTAGATTTGTTTACATTAACAAAGATAGATAAATATAAAGATATCACATAAAAAAGTTCAGCACAACACAGTTGAAGAAATAAATAATAAACAAATACTATGGTTGATTGAATAGTAGGGATGTCACAATCAAATGGATTGCCCAAGGTATTTTACAGTGACTCATTTAGGCTAAATATATGTATATTACTTTGGCTTTTGAATCTATCTTGTCAATCCATCAAGATATCCCTGAAAGGAAAATAGTACCAATTTGTTGTACTAGTTACAAATACAGTTATCTGTATCACTTTTTATAAGTAGATCTGATATCAGATCATCTTAGTCTCTCTTTAAAAAGAATAAATTATTACGTATTACCATATGAGCCACTGTAAATCACATAGGAAAATATATTGAGCAATTAAAAAGACTTTTACAAAGCCAACATTATGTTTAAAGTAATTCTTAAATTGATAAAAAAGAGAATTGTGACCAAAAATATAACTTGCTTTGACATCATATATTAATACTTTCATGCCCAGTAAACAAGGAATAAGGACCAATACAGTTTATTTTAAGAAATATAGTTGCATAGAGAGATCAATTCATAGTGGCAGAATATAAATAATGATCTAGCCACCTATTCTCGAACCGATCTTAGAATTAGGATACCTAGAAACCGTACAGGACATCCTAACCCTAGATCGTATCTATCCTACTGGGCCTGGTTGTGATAAAATTCTAAATTTGGAGGTACATTTTTGTTGAATTGCAAGTGAACTAGAACTCTGATTTTAATTCTGAACAATGCTATGATAAAGTAAATATTTATACAATTATATCCCTTTAAATTGTGTACGTGCAAAAGCAGATTATCAAAACAGCAACTCTTACTAGATGTATTGTCAGCCTAAAGCCATTGATACCAATACTAGTTTACTTAGATATCTTAGGAGCAGTGGTAGCAATACAGTACAAACAAGTCATTTTGCAAGTAGAAATAAGTATCAAACTATTGACATTTTGCAAGATAGTCCCAATAAGGAAAGAATTGTGTTCAAGAATTGAAGATATACAAATGACAAGAAAAAGGCATTAATCTTAAAATGAGTAAATCAGAAAATAAAAAGGAAAAACGTGTTAATAGTAACAATTACAAGATTGTTGAATACTTAAAGAGAGTTAGTTTCTCCAGGAAGCTATTAATATATATATATATATATTGAGGTCTGATATTTGGCAGTCTTGTTTGACAATTGAATATATTATCCCTTGAAAGATGTCTACATTAAAAATCTGTTCTTCAAAACCCCCTCAAACTTTTTTTATCATTATTTGTCCCATTAGATGCTTTCATTCCGAGATTAAAAAGAAACATGTACGAGTCATACTACTATTTTCCAAAGACTAATGTAATTAGTCTTAGTAACTTGTTTTTAACTTTCAATATAGACCATCCAATCAACTTTAAAACTGAGAGAAATAGAGAAAGTAGGTAGACCTCTACCCATGAAGAGATAATACCCCAAATATTTAATACAGTCGTATTATTAACAAAAATTAATGAACAGGTAGAAATATATGATTTGTTGAGATTTTTGATTAAAAAATTTAAAATTAAGTCATCATTAACATAAACAACCACCTTCATTGGAATCTTTTTTATAATAATGGAATGACTGATCATTGCCAGCTCTACTACCAGGTAGTTTGGATTTATCAGTACATTTCTCCATTCTGGCCATCACCATATCTAGTAAACAGTCAATAGCTTTAGATACATTGTGACCTGTCGCAGCACTTGTTTCAAAATATGGTAAGCTGAAAAACAAGAAATATATTAATGAATCAAATTATTATTTCAAATTAAGTTTTCAGTTACTGCACCTTGAGTTAAAAAGACAGTACTCTATTACTGTATTACACAGTCTAATCAGTGAAACATTTGCCTCGCCTCATAAGTAAACTATTTTTTGCATTTCGTAGAACAAGTACAAGGTTGAAATTACAGTTTGATTAAAATCCAGGTCAAAATGTGACTAATTACCATCAGTGATATGATGAAATTGTAAAATATTGTTCTTGGTTATGTTAATATTCAACAAATCAAATGCTCTATTCTTCTATGCAAAGTTAGGATGCCACATGTTACTAAAATAATATTTACCCAAATTTATCTGCCATTTCTTTCCCTCTGTCTTCTCGTATTTTTCTCTGATCTTCTAAATCTGTTTTATTGCCACATAAAACAACATCGGGATTTTCACAATATGCATGTGTTTGAAGTTGTGATAACCAATTACGAATGTTAACAAAAGATTGTTCATTAGTTAAATCAAATAATAAGAGAAAGCCCATGGCATCACGAAAAAATGCTGTTGTTAAACTACGGAATCTGAAAATGAAAAAAATATTAATTAGATAATTGAAGATAACACATCTAGATCATGACACAACACAGCTGTGATCAGATTATAGGCAAAACACAGCTATGTTCAGATCATGGCCATAACACATCTGTGATCAGATTAAGGGCACAACACATCTGTGATCAGCTCATAAGCAAAACACAGCTGTGATCAGATTCTGAGCACACCACAGCAATATTCTGATCATGAGCACAACACAACCTAGAACAGTTCATGTGCAGAACACAACTTTGATCAGATTCTGTGCTCGACACAGATTTATGAAGATCTCAAGCACAAATCAATTCATGTGCACAACACACCATTAATCAGATTAGTGTTCAACACTTCATTAATCAGATCATGTGCTCAACACATCATTGATCAGATTAGTGTTCAATGCTTCATCAGATTTATATTTCAAAATCCATATTGGACAGCTTCATCAAACAATCAAGTTATAAAACTACTGACTGATTACTTCAGAATGTATATTTAAACAGGATGTAATGTAAAAACTATTTCTACTGTATTATTCTATCAATGTCAATTGTCTTTTTTAATGACTTTCCTGACAAACTGACATATGATATCAGAATATCACTGGTCTACATGTCGTTTCCATTGGTTTCCATAATTCAAACTGACATGTACTTTCTTTCCATGTTGATGACAGGCTCATTAAGCTTTACTATAAAACATCTATGTCTTTAATAGAAATATCCAGCCTGGGTCCAATAATTCAATATTTATATGATGGTTACAATGAAAGTAAAAGAATTAACATGTGTCTTTAGTAATGGCATACTAATTTTCAATAAATAACCTTTGACATAACTAATTATTTTCACTCAGACTGATCCAAAAGGCTTGTAACAAATGAAATTAGCATTGTGAAAACCTGACCCTTTCTATGACAAAATTTCAACCAAGTCTGCAACATCACCTGAAAAATAGCATCTTGAGCAATGTGATTTGTGTTTAGAATGATTACATGGAAAGTTGTAAAATTACAGTTATACACCTAATCTATTCTGAAGGTTGAAAGAATAATAATTTTCTAAAGAAGTATATTGTCATACAGAATTCTATATTCAGAATCAATACAATAAATACCATTATAAGACTGAACAATACATGTGATAATTAATATATATCAATTATACAGTTTGATCTACTCCCTATTCTTCCCACTCTTCATTAGTTCAAAACTAACTATCATAATAACTACTTATCAGACAAAAATAAACTCTTTTCAATAGAGATTACAAAATCTGAGAATAACTGATGTGTTGATGTACATGTAGTCTATTTTCAGTGGAACCAAAATGGTAAAGAAAATTGGTATGACTAAACAATATTTCCAAATAGTGATAAATATTTCAATATCAGTTAATACCTCTGAACTTTCTGATTGAAAAAGTGCCACTGAATCAAGATATTGATTTGATGACTTTTCTAAACCACAACATGAGATTTAGCTATCAGAGTTTGGGTAAGAATCAACAAGGTCTGATTGTTCATATATTATCAATTAGTATTCTGTAAGATATCTAAATTAATCTACAATCAATAGATATTCCTGTCATATATAACTCTTGTTACTATTCTACTTCATTAATACTGAATACCTAATTTATTATTATCATCTAAATATGCTTCCATATCCTTCTTTTACATGCTCTGTCACAGCTACATTATAGCTTTTAGTGCTCAAAGTTGGCAATCAGTAAAAAGATCTGATTTTACAGGCAAAATTTCATTATGAAAGAAAAATTATAATTATTATTTTGAACATGCATACGTTTTAGGAATAGGAAGGAGAATTTCTGTTTATTATCAGATTCCAAAACAGCTATTTTATATTACAATGACAACATTTTTAATTGTACAGTATTCTCACAATATTGTTTCTTCAGTTGTCTCTTACAAGTTTCTAGTTCTGGTTGTAATAGATTCTAAACTTTTTAATCATCTATCGCAACACGATGTTTGAATACCAAGTAATAGATGAATGAACGTTAATAATGCTGGGGATTGAGCAGTTGGTTGAACTGAATACCAAATAATACTTAGTAATTTGGGTGAGGTATTGCTGAAATAAATACCTAGTAGTTTTAATGAATGAACCTGAAAGAGGTATTAAGCAGATGGATGAACAGGATCATTCATTTTCTATTTTATTTCTATTTTCCATTTTTATTACCTTCTCAATTTGGAAATATGTTATTGTAGAAAGATCGCAGGGAAGATTGCCTTGTGCAACTGGGTTTCTACTAAAGTTATTATTATTATTATTATGATAGAATGGTGAACTGAATACCTAGAATATTTAAATGATCCTTAGTAATTATGGTGAGGCATTGAGCAGTTGGAGGAACAAGTTGAACTGCTGAAATGAATACCTAGAAATAGTTGAATGAATAATGAACCTTAGTAATTCTGTTGATTGAGCAATTGGTTGAACTGATTACCTAGTAATTGTTAAATGAACCAACAGCTGATGTGAATATGTCACTTGCCAGATAGTCCTATGTATTCATATCATTGGAGAACTGGCATAGATTGAGGGAAATTTTGCAATGACAACGTTGTTGACCTTTTTATTTTTTACTATTGAAGTTCCATAACATGCACAATCTCTGGTGTATAATTCATTGTACCATGTCAACAACTTCAGTTTAATGACAAGTGATGACTTCTAACTAACTGAGCTTTAACAAAAATCAAAACATATCAGTACCTTTCTTGACCAGCAGTATCCCATAATTGTAAATGTATTCTTTGACTTCTACCTACAGATCCATCAGCTGCTGGCATACGATGTACCTGAAAATACGGTTTTGAAGAATATCACCTTATGAATATGACCACCTGGTTCTCATTTCCAAGGGTTAGTAATTGTAGACAAACCAAACATCACATTTACATTCCGAAAGGTATTATGAAACACAGTTCTCAATCAAGAGAGACTTCGTCGCTTTAAGTCTAAAACTTCATCTTTAAAAGATTCTCAAAGCTAAATGTCTATCAATGTATTCAGACCCAAAAAAAACTGTATCAACTGGTAACAGAAATATCTAGAGGACAATGTTTAACAGTAATAAGTCCATACATCACTGTGAACATCTATTCTCTATAATAATAGATATAAAGCAATTTTTAAACAGTGTCTCACAGGGCACTGAAAGTTACACAGGTTAATAAATTTGACAATTAAAATTCTATAGCAGAAACCTTGAGCCATGATACACAACATTTATCTTGTGAATCTCAAACTTAATCCTATTTTATTAATCGAATTGACTTAAATATTGACAAATCAGGTTTTAAAATCAAGAGAACTTTAATAAAGAATTTTCTCATCTCATATTTCATACAACAAATTTATTTAATTGACAAAACATCGAGAAAAGTTTGATGTAATAATTACTTACCACACGTTTTTCTCTAAAATCAATACCAACTGTTGATATAAATTTATTATTAAATGTATTATCTGTATATTGATATAATAAACTGGTTTTACCTACACCTGAATCACCTGTAATATACATAACATATAAACACAGATTAACTTAAAGATGGGTTTTCTTTTTTTTTTTTTTTTGAGTAAAATCAAGCAAATTATTTGCTTCTAGCTTTTCTAATGAATTTTTCTGTGAAAATATGACTGGTACTTTTCCCAATCATAAGAACACCTCTATATTTATATATAAATATATAAATAAGGGAACCCATCATTAAGTACTAATAAAAAATTCACATTGATTATGGTATATGAGGTAAAATCCTCTACATCTTCCTAACCTTTAAAGTAACAGGGAAGTGGTACTCGAGAGGCCTCTCGAACAATTCTAAATCGTTTGATAATATCAATGGCAGATTCAAGCATGTTTGTCATTTTGTGGGTGGAAACCCTTTTATCTTGTTTATGGTGGTGGACAAAAGGGAACCTTTGGCATCTAAATGTAGAAAGTATTACGCAGTCTCAAAGGCTGGTAACCACAGCCTAATACCCTTCAGGTCCTTCATATGATTGACTTACTTTATTCAAGAAAAACCGAACCGACAAACTTTGTAAACAGGAGATAGTTTGAGCACTTAGTCTATTAAATTGTTGGAATAGTTGAATGAGGGGTCTTGATTAACATCATTATAATTTCAAACAATTTTTACTTTTTATTCTTTGATATCTGGATGCACCTTGAGGATATTAACAAGGTGAAACACCACAGTACATGTTACAACACTCAAGGCATAAGGTAATTCATTAATAAGATGAAACCTGTAAAAAACTTCCAAGGTACATGTATTTGTTAGATTGCAGGAAAAACACTATTAGCAATTATATAGATATATCTATAACGCAATTGAATAATTCATCGAGATTATACTAAATCTCTGAATAAATATCACATCATCGCTGAATTTCTACGTCAATTAAATAATTCTATTAACAGACTGACGTCAGTTGTGACACTAGCTTAATTTTCCTGTCATAGACTGATTGTCACTGTCACAGAATCTCCGTTTAACCTTTCAATTAGGTTTGCCAACCATTTCATAGCCAGATTTAACTGTGCTCATGAATCATTCATTGACAACTGATAATTACCACACTATGTCACTTAAAACTATTCTGTATTAGAAGGTCAGAATTTAGCTATTTTTATATACAGATTCATATAGCTTATTTTGAACTATATTTGCATCATCAACTGAATGACAGGTTAAAAATGAACACGTTGGTGGACATTCAAAAAATAAAGAGCTATTGTGACAATGTTGTAAGCAAATGATTTTCAAATGATAATCCTTCAATAATTCAAAAGAAATGTCAATCATATAAACGAAATGGAGTTAAATTTCCCATTTAAAGGCCCAAAAATTACCTTTTATTTCCAAGCAATTGACATTGAATATATTGATTCAGTATTTCACTTAATTTCATAAAGTAATTAAATTCAAGAAGATAGCTTGATAGGCAAGGTAACATACTCCCACTGGCAGCTGTCAGAAATGATAAAACAGTCTTAAGTGACTAAAGTATGAATTTTCTCATATTAAAGAAATTTTCATAGTTCGAATTCATTGATATATTTACTGCCAGTTATATATGCTGAGAAATTCCACAAAATTTTTAAAAATCAATATCAATAATCGAAACACATCATCAATATACATGATCACACCATGTTTCATTAAAATCAATTGGAAACTGTAGTCTCCTATGGGTTCACAAACAAATTTTGATGGTTTTTCCTAAGTCAAGGGCAATAACTCAAAGACCGTTCATTGAAATATCAAATTCAAACTTGTCCAAGATCTCTTCAATATAAATGATCACACCAAATTTCATTAATATCAGTTGAAAACTGTAGTCTCTATTGTGTTCACAAAAAAATTTTGATGCGTTTTTCCTAAGTCAAGGGCAATAACTAAAAAAACCTTCATTGAAAGATCGTCAAATTCGAACTTGACCAAGATCTCATCAATATGAATGATTACACCAAATTTCATTAAAATCAGTTGAAAACTGTAGTCTCTATTGTGTTCACAAACAAATTTGGACGCGTGTTTCCTAAGTCAAGGGCAATAACTCAAAAACCATTCCTCGAAAGATCGTCAAATTCGAACTTGACCAAGATCTCATCAATATAAATGGTCACACCAAATTTCATTAAAATCAGTTGAAAACTTTATTCTCTATTGTGTTCACAAGCAAATTTTGGCGCATTTTTCCAAAGTCAAGGGCAATAACTCAAAATCTGTTCATCGAAAGATCGTCAAATTCGAACTTGACCAAGATCTCATCAATAAAAATGATCACACATAATTTCATTAAAATCAGTTGAAAACTGTAGTCTCTACTGTCTTTACGAAAAAATTTTGACGCGTAATTTCTAAGTCAAGGGCAACGACTAAAAAACAGTTCATTGAAAGATCGTCAAATTCAAACTTGACAAAGATCTCATCAATATAAATGATCACACCAAATTTAATTAAAATCAGTTTAAAACTGTAGTCTCTATTGTGTTCACAAACAAATTTTGACGCGTTTTTCCTAAGTCAAGCGCAATTACTCAAAAGTTCGTCAAATTCGAACTTGACCAAGATCTCATCAATATAAATGATCACACCAAATTTCATTAAAATCAGTTGAAAACTGTAGTCTCTATTGTGTCCACAAGAAATGTTGACGGACCAACGCACCAACGGATGGACAGGGGCGACGGCAATATACGTCCACATTTCCATGTAAGCGTATAAAAAAAAGACAAAGAATATTTTAATCGAATACCAGGAATTCCTAAACAATGGGAAGTAAGAAAAGGGCAAAAACACAGTTCTAGTCATACTACTAGCAGGTTTCAGATGAATTGTAACAGTGAGACAGTGTTAAATAATCATATTGATGACAAGTTTCTCATCTCGCCTAATTTACTAACATTTTTCCCCATGTCTATAAATATCTCTAGGCAATTATCATTAAAACCCACTTTGACAATTAATTGTCAATTAGTTGAATATCATGAAATTATTAGTCTAGACCTCTACCTCTATGTTAGATATCACCAGTTTATTTATAACGAAGTGTTATATCGATTATTATATCAGTGTGCATATAACATTGTGATCCAAGCCAAATAAAAGAAGGGTCAAATCATAATTTAGTTCACCAGAGTCTTCATGCTCAAAAATGTCATGAGTATCTCTTTTATATGGAGAGCCACATGACCAAGATTGTTCAATTACAAATTGTGTACTTACCCAGTGCTAAGAATTTAATAAGATAATCATAATCTGCTTGATTATTGTTGCCAGCTGTTATTGTCCCAGGAGCTGGGCTTGTATCACCCATTTCTAAATCTATAATATAAAATATATATAGATTGAATCATCTCTCAATAGAAATCAATGAATAAATCAAGTTATGGTCAAATAGTATATCAAAGGTTATATCCCACACAGAAAATGTACAAACTCATTGGTATCATTAAAAATTGACCTTTTGACTTGAAGCCTAATTAAAACCCCTTTTTGACCATATCTATTTAGAAGCAGACTTGTAATAGCTATATCATAAAACAAAATGTACCAATTTGAAATAAAAACTTATAAACAGAATAAATAAACTCTGAAAGATGGTGAAAATTTACACATAATCATTGTAAGGTGAGGAGTGTTCCAGTAGGATTAACACGCTCTGCTCTAATAATTGTTAGAAAATAATTCAGGATTAATACCCATTATACTGATGGCAATATATTAGAGCTATCATATTCAACATTTCTGGTTTACTAGTGAAACTTTCCACAATAAAATATCCTAGTCAGCCAATAAGGTATACTCTATTTGATATTACCCATTGCAGTGAATTTGAATATCATTGAATTTGTCATACTTAAAGAGATCCGAAAAATTTAGATGAATTTCAACTTCAAAAAGTTATATCAATAGAGGCATTCAGGCCTTATCTTTGCACAATTTTCCTTCCAACTTCCATGGTTCCTGTAATTCCTGAAACCTGACTCAATTATGATGTCAATCCAAATGGCATTAATGAAAAGTTGATTATTCTGAAATTACACAAACCAATGACTTCAAACATCTTATAGAAATAGAGCTAAAGGTCTATACATAAAAATATCTTTGATGCAAGCTTTTATTCTTTAGGTAGCTAGCATTCAGTTCTTTTAAAGACGATATCTTTATATTTATCCCTTAAATTGTTCTGTATTATTGAGGCTTTTCTTTTTATTTCCTGTAGCCTGAAGACAATGAAGGATTTCCTCCTTGAACAATGACAGAGCCATATAATTATGTCTTATACATACACTATATTCCAATTAGTAAATACAGGAAGCACCTGGAAATCCCAAATCAAATGTCTTTATCACAGAAGAAAATTATAATGCACAATTACGTTAAGATATGACAATCTTATGACAGTGTTTATGACAAGCTATAGTACTACTTAAAGCACTCTGACACTGCTGAAGATTATAGTAAACTGAAGATTCTATAGTAATATTCACTGAGAATCATATTGTAGCCTGAGGCAAGGACAATCTGCATGCAATAATATATTCATTATTAATGAGTCCAGTCATATCTACTCTATTCTTGGCAGCAACAACAACATTCAAGGACCATAGTCTTCTATAATGTACTATGGTATTTTCTCATTTTTTATAACTCCAACACCAATTATACAAGCTTAAAATCCACCAGCATGGCAGGCTGCTCTTTTTCTAGAAACAGGTAAATGCTACGAAACTGTAAACCTTGTTCTAAATTCATTATTGGCACATCATTTAAAACAGATTTTTGTGTAACTATTCAAGTTTCTCCTCTGTGATTCAACAAATGATGTGCTGGAGGATGGTTTGAGTGTAATATCAGTTTAATATAGTTTCTTAACTAATTCCACCCTTCTAACTTAATATTACTAAAAGATTAGTTGAATTTGACTGCCCAGTTAACTCAGTTGGTGGCGCAACAGAATTTTATCTCAGATTCAAGGGCTTGCATCTCTTATCTATCTTCTCAATGTCAAGCTTTTATGAACTGCAATAGCTGCTATTTTTGTACCACAGAAGTTTGTAAATCATAGATTGATTAGATTGTACATTGACGAACACAGCCAATCAGAGCTCTCGACAAAAAGTCTGTAAACAATAAGCCATGTTTCCAGTCTTTTCTGTGTGGGGCTCTGATTGGCTTGACAATTCTGTCTTCATTTACACAATCAGGTGCAGAAAGAAAGACTTAAATCTCAATCTAATTTCATTTCACAGACAACTTTTTTCAAAATGATTTTCAAAATTCAATAAAAGCAATCACTATGTCATTCTAGATCTCATCCTACAAACCTTTTCTTTCCTAGACATTACCTGACACTTGGAATCTGCAGTCAGACACAACTGGTTACATGACCAAAACACTAGCTCTGCTTGATACAAAATGATGAAGGTAATATAAACTATAAATAAGTATTCAACAGTAAAATGAAATAAAGTAGCATCAAAAATAGACTCTATTAAATCCTTCAGAATCTTATCTTTTAATATCCTAGTATTTTCACAGCTTTTTCTATCTAATTATTGATCTTCTTTCAACTTTTCTCGCAAATGATTAACTCTTGAAATCTAAATTGACTTCTAAAATAAATGTAAAGAAAAAAAAACAGTCAAAAGGCAGCCATTAGGAGCCAAAAAACCTTTTCCAATAAAATAGAGCAATAGCATTAAACTAAATAAACTTGTGGTGAGTTGAAGATTAATAAAATCTGTGAAATGAAAAACGAAACCAAACTAATTATTGTCACTAAAAACTGAACGGAAAAGGACAGGATAATTCTGTTATTTTAACAAGAATTGAGAAGTATTCTCAAAACTCATTCAACCAATTACAAAGGATTCCCAGAACCATATTATTACTTACCATAATACATCTAGATAATTACTGTTACAAAGAAAAAATATATTATTTAAACAACTGTTATTCAGGAAATATAGCGCTGATCTAAAAGAGTTCTTGGGTAACAGATAGTTTGAGTTTTAAGGTCCGTTAAAAAGTATTTCAGGTCTATGAATGAGTATCAAAGACAGTTCTGGCCAACTCCCTATTTGCTCCATTTCTGATTTTCTCTATGACATTTGTGGCCATTACTGTTCTCACTTTATGTCCAGAAATTTAATAATATAAGTTTCAGTAAGGCCGTTAGAAACTTTTCTATCCATTACATCAATAAACCAAGGGCCTTATTTTAACAGGTTACCATTAAAACCTTAAAAAGTTTGAAAGCAGATAGATTTTTGCTACAGTTTTTGTAAATTTCCTCCCATTGTGCACAGTTATAAATTGTATGCATCTATTGAAAAAGGGTAATTAACACACACCAATCCAGAATCCTTGGATGTAAATATTAGCATTCTTTGCTCTTTTGATATGTTTTGACCAAAAGGCATTCATTGAAATATCATATATTTTCAACTTTCATGGGAATTTACAAGCAGTAGTTTCACATCAATTTAAATACAAACATATCTACATCCGAATGAAAACATTAAAAAGCAAATCTATCAGTCCAACTAAAATGTCAGAATGTTTGCTTTATATTAAATAAAAAATAACTTTTTATATTTATTTGTTCAAATATTTCATCCGGATATGGTTTCCGCTAATCCCACTTAGATGGGAATTAGGTTAAGCTGACAACAAAAACGCAAAAATAAATCTTATTTAATACAAATAAAAAACCAGAAGAATTTATTTCCTTTTAGCTAAAAGAGTCTAAAGATATTGCATGATTCTTAGAATTTGTTGATTTCTAAAATTTTGTAACTAACTAATTAATACAAGATCAGAAAACTGACTGGAAGAAAAATTTACGAATTCAAAATTGAATCGCATGTGACATGTAAAATATAAAGATTTCTATTATGAATACATATAACTGATTACTGTCAACTCTAATTGGATTTTCCCACTAATTCTTGTTCTATTTCAATCCTCTATGGAAAGAAACAGTCAAGGAAATGAATTTCTATTATCTTTCTAAACCAGATTTATTGCTTAAGAGAATTACATCTTCGCTGATATAACAGAAATTTGAATTATAAAAACTTTTGAGGTTTCTTTAAATGTGAATATAATACAGATCCTAATTATTTCTGTGCTATCTTTCATTTCTTCATTTTATTGTTATGTCGTAGGATAGTCAGTGGTTCATACTTGTATAATAGAATCTAAAACACCTTTATTGCTTCACTTTTAGTGTGAATAGGGCAGGTCATTCTAGCAATACAAGGTCGCTCGCTGTCTTGGTTTGTCTGCTTGGCACCCCTTTCAGACGGCAGCTAACTGATCTTTCAGAAATTTTAAGAAGTTTTAAGATGATTTTTCAATGCTTGCTTGAGGCAAATTTGCCTCTAATATGCGAATTACTAGTCAATGAAAATTAGTCTCAGTAAGTTGGATTGAGTTTAAACTTTTTCGAAATTATTCTTTTTTATTCAATTTTTTTTCTGAAATTTGTTTTCATTGAGATTTGGTGTATTATCAATTCTGTAAGATGTAGTATAGATTTCATTAAATTTATATCAATCTTTCCTTTACAATCAATGTACAAACAATTACTTCAAATACTATTAACAATAATATCAACATCAACAACCTATATTTACAATAAAAAAAATAATTCTTTCCTTCAAAATAACAGAATTGGATCAACAGACTGACATGAGAGCAAAGACACTAGTCTTTACAACGTCAAGCTATTACAAACTCCATAATTATACCTTGACTGAAATAGTCAATATTCTTGTATAATGGTAAGCAGAAATTTGATTGGATTGTGCGCAAGCGAAAATAACCAATCAGAACCCTCAACAGAAAGGCTGTAAACATTATGGCTATGTGTCCACAGACATTCTGTCAAGGCCTTATCGCTTCATTTACAAACAGCCCCGTCGCAAGGAATGCATTGGTGTTTTGTATCAGATTTTGTACTCTGAAAATTTGAAGAATTAAAGGCCCAGAAAACTCATTTCTGGTCATTTTGAGGTGCCAAAAACGTATCAAAATCAATATCTTTTCGATTTTATACAAAGACACTCTAAATGAATTAATCTCTTCTGAACTGAAGAAGGTTTGGCTTTGGCTTAATTCTAACTTGATGGGGCCCAGCCCCCACGTAGTCCATCTTAATGACAGGGCTCTTTACACAATTCCATTATCTGAAAAAGGTGACTATTGTAGTCAAGGTATAAGTATGAAGTTTATAATAACTTGACATTGTGAAGAAATGTTGTCATATAAAATTCTTCAAAGCAGGAAAAACATTGTTAAGACCCATTGAACTCT